CAGACCGAAATAAAAGGCCCATCTGATTGGTCGCACTTGTATACACTGGGCCCGATCGATGAGAAAGTGGAAAAATATAAAAGAAACTTTTAAGATATTGAACATTAACATTTTTTAAAATGTTACAATAAACATTTTTTTTTAATATATTTAAGGCTGCGTTTTATTGAAATTCTATATATAGATAGTTAATTTCACGTTCCAATTATTTAAGATCTATTAAGGATTAAAAATATAATAGGATTATACATAAAATTTCATTTTATTTGCAAACAGCCATGAAGCCAGTTTTTAAAATAAGTTTTAATTAATATTAGTTGAGAAAAGTGTGAGAAGGGCTGTATTTTTCATGTATAAAAGTAAAAACTAATAAAAATTTATACTTTATTTTACAGATAACAAGGAAAATTATTCTTCTAAACAATCGCCAATTCTCGACTGTTCCAGCGTTAACGGATTCTTCGTGTTCTAACAAATCTTCGGTTTTAATTAAACTCGAAGAAAGACGAATGATAGCTTTCTACCAGTTGTAACTCTCACCCTCTTTCTCGCTCTTCTCGGAAATGAATTAAGACTTAATTAAAGTCGTTCTTTGATATGTTAATTCTTTTGCAAATATGTATTACTTTCTCTGCAGAAATTAAAATTTTCACGGTATACATCTCGGACCGATTTGCTACTTATAGCACACGAAAAATGTAATCTACTGACAGAATTAATTTAGCTATAATAAATTATACAATAAATTTTCTAATTGAGATAATAAACAAAAGTAACGAATAAATGATTCTTTAAGATCTAAAGTTAATAATTGCTGAAAGTTCTTAATATAAAACATATATTATCACATTAAAATGTTAAAAAATATGTTCTCTCCAATTTTATGAAATATGTCAAAAAAAAATTTGACAAGCATTTCTGTTTTTAAGTAGAAATTATTATGTATTGTTATAAAATTATTTCTTCGGGTAACTCACGATTTTGAAGTTTTACTTTTTACACTTTTTACATATTACAAATATTTATTTATTTTTTGTATGAAGGAATGTGTCTTGGATTCAAGGAGAGGAGAATATTGACGTAGGAAGGGTAATAAAGTACCTGCCCTTCCATTTTAATATATTATCATCGTTTGTATTTTTATTTCAATAAAGGAGGCCCTGTCTTCAAACGATATGGTACGATTAAATATGTACATCGAATTTTATTTTGTCACGAGCGGGTATATATACAAATAGACGTCCGGGAAGTGGCTCTAACTACATTTCTTCGTTCTCTACGTGTATCTCGTTTACGGACCGCGGAGGCTGATCGTCATCGCTCACGAACGACCAGCCGAGAGCGAGCATCCGCGAAACACGTTCTGCAAAATCGTAAGGATGAGCATGTTAAAATAGGGGAGAGTTGCCGAATGCATATCACTAAAGATATTTTTGGTTATATTTCACATTTGGTACTATTTAGAATGCAAACAAACGTTCGAAATTGTAGCTTGATGTTCAAGGCATCTAATATTATATGTTAAATCTTTCACTAATAGCAAATTAATTTGTTCTAAGCTTTTTTGCAACATGCTGCTCAAAAGCACGATTCAGCAAACCGGTCGCCTAAATCGTACCTGTGAGTTTTATTAATAGTACCTCCTTCTAAACTATTGAATTTATGAATAAAAATAAGTAAAAACACAAGATTGATAAAAGAATCATGAATTAATACCTACTGTAATTGTAATTTATTAAACGCAATAACTGTGTTGCTTACGCAACTCGATGATGGTTTTTTCTCTACAGACTTGTTACAGAACAACTTCGATCGTGTTAAAATAAATAATGGTGATTATGTCATGTGATCTAAAAATAAAGATACATTAGTGTTCCTAAATTGTATCAATACGGTATAAGAACTCTTATGCTGGTTAGGTTAGGTACGATTTAGGAAACCTGACAGAGATGATAAAAATATTGATATAATTTTTATAATAATTGTAAATATGTATATATAATAAATGTAAAATATGCTATCATAAACTTTCTTTTAGGAAAAAAATAACGATTTAATTAAAAATTGATTGGTTACATTAGTATCAGCAATATAAATTGATCAAAAAGTCACATCATGTGTATCTGATTTTTTAAAAATGTGATAGCATGAACAAAACAAGATATATGTAACCTGTTCATTTTTTGTCTATTTTACACATTTCTTATTTACTTCATATTTTTGTTACTAAATGTTGCTTCTATTAAGTGGAACTATAAAATATTGAAGAGGTATGCTTTATGAGACTGGTACGCATTTGGCAACTCTTCCTTATGTTAAAATATAGATCGTCGGTAGCTGTAAGATCAATATATTGAGTTTAAGAAAAAGACTTATTATTTCGCCAAAATATTTGTGTCACAAAATAATTAATAAAAAATACGCAGAATGCACTATATATTCACATCAAGTTATAGCAAAAATGCTTAATAAAACGATTTTCTTGAGTTTTTTGTATTTGACAGAAAGATACTTTATATCTTACGATTTTGCACATCGCGAGTTGAATTTCACGTCAATCATTAAACGATGTCGGAAGTGGCATGTGGCGAATCTTCCTCCGCGCTCTCTTTCGGAATTTACATTACCACGATGGCGTCTAGATAATATGCACAATTCTTTGCCTTAACGTATTAATACTGCAGAATATTGTTTATGTCAAAATTCACTTTTTTTCCGCCTCCGTGCGCCTTTACCCTATGTGTACTCTACAAGAGATATTTCGCTAGTTCGCCGATCGACGATGACAACCGCCGTCGGGCGTCGAAAGCGTCGCCGTCGATCCGAGGGAGATCTCCGAGGGTTGGTCTCCCGACCAACATCCGGTTTACGCTTAACCGAACGCTTCGATCGCGCGTATGCTGCACTACGTGGGTTTGTACGCAACTTGCCTCGAGTTGCGAGGAGATATTCGGCCGACGAACGCGAATCGGACACACACTTCGCGAGGTGTTACTCGATTTGATCGGATTTATCGATCGTTCAGGGTATCCATGTATCAAGCGAGGTCCTTTTTCGCTCATCGCTTCGCACGGATGTTACCTGTTACCGAGCATCCTGTACACTTGCTGCTTGTTACGCAAGATGTTCGATGATAGTTGTCGAGGAAACCGATACTTCTTGTCAAAGACTGAAACGATTTGTTCCTTTTTGCTTCTTCTTCTGCTTTTATTGCGACGTTTAATGGTCAGTGCGACGCAGAGTGCGAGTTTGTACGAGACTGAAGTAGAACAACAGGCCACGATAACGTTAAAATAACGTTAAAGTGAATCGTGATTGATCGAAAAGAGACTTTCAATAATCGTTTTGAAATCATTTTTATGCCGCATGACTTTTTGTTCTTGAAGAAAGATAGAGATCGTGAATTCCATTTCTCAATGCGGTTTCGAACATGCTATTTTAGAATATTGGAATTATCACTTTACGCACATGGTCGAAGTAGATAATTGATAAAAAGCGACAGCTATTTATTATCACTCTAAATGGCCTACGTACGCAAGTGATAATTTAAATATCCCATACATAAATCAATACTAGTTTATTCACGTTTGTTCACGTGTTCGATGGCCGTAAAACGATATAATTACTTTATGGAAGGATATCGTCGGCTATAGTTCCCCAATTATTGTGTAGCACCGAGGAACGCGGAATGTATCTGTATGTCACGAAATATTTCGCCGCGTACCGCAGCTCGAAATCGCGACTCCCCGCAGTTTTATAATCGCGTATTAGCGAGAAAAAAAATTAATGAAACGTTAACAGATTTAGAAATTGATTTAAACAAATTTGTTACACATTTACTCTCGTGACGGTTGACACCAGCACATTTGCATCTGCGCACCTTTATATTGCTTTATAAAATTAAATAATGTACACCTCGATTTTTTGACGATAGTCATATATGTATCCGCGATACATAATAGACCTCGAGAGTCATATATCTTTATTTTTAAAATTACGCCCATTAAAAACTATTCGCGTAATTTTATGGCAACGTCATGTTCTATTCGCGGTTTGAAAAATAATTTAGCGTGAGATTCGACACACAAGTATTTCTGCAATAAATGTATCGTGAGTAATAACGGCAAATTGATCCAAATTGATCCTCCTTTGCCTTCACTTCAGCTAGGCATGCAACAAGTTTGCGCAACAATTCCTTTTGTCTATTGCACAATTGCCGACTTGGAGCGAGTAAATACCGAGGAAATTTTTCACGCGGCTGCAATCCGCATGAAAAATTTTACGCCAGACTAAAAATACGGGTCTCTGTCTGTCGGTCTGCTATTTTTAGCGGCTGTCGTCGTTATTGTTATCAGAAGCATCACAAATAACACAAATGCCTAAGAAGCGCCTTTGATCTCGTAGACGCTTCCTAGGCACATTTTATGCTTTCCGTGCTGTTTCAGATAAGAATTCAATTTTCCCGAGTTGACGTCAATAATTAGTCAATTCTCAACCATGAACACATGCTCATCGATCATAGATATCTTGCCAATTATCACATTAATAGTGTCTACAATCATCGAAAATATACCCACCGATCGTCGACTGTTGCAATATTAATCTCTTTGATTTAACACATTACCAACGTATATATTAGATCGTCCATTGGTAACTGTTAGTAAAATGAGATCCCTTTTCAGTCGCAGGTTCTCACTCCTCAACACACACACACACACATACACACACACATACGAACGATCGCCTCTTCTTTTCTTTGCCTAGCTTCTTGTACTTTCGTCACGTCCAGCATCGCGTCGATGATTTTCCCCTCTGTGTCACGGAACGAACTCGCTCTCGCCGTTCGACATACCGCTCTCGCTTGCCCAGGCGACTCCTCGCCTGATCCGGAATGTCTTTGGGCGAAGGATTGCTCGCGCTTCTGCTCGTCACGCCGTTACGAGCGCGAGGCCGGTACGGCTGGCAGCGGTGCGCGTCCTTGGCGTATCTTGTGTTAAACTTCAGACCATTTGCAGACCTTTGGTGATGCTCTCGACGTGCTCCTTGGCCCGCATCCTGAGTGCTTGGATGCTCGAGGTGCGAGGATCGTGCCCCGGCGGACTCGGCGGCGGTGGTTGCACGTGACCGCCGGCACTTATGCTAGCCATACTGCTGGCTAACGACCCTGCGAACAATGCGATTTCTACTTCTCGTTGGTATGCTCGATGGTAATGATTGTGATGAACGCTATTATAATGTTGATTAACTCGTTAAACATCAGATAGTGTTGTCAACTGTAAAGATGAAACTATACAAGATTTATAACTAGAATTATCTAATGTATATAATTAAAAAGTAATAAAATTTCTTATGATAAAACAACATATGAAGCGAAGGGTAAATAGAAATCAAAGCGCTATAGTGTCAGTACGCAAAGAAATATTTAATGCAATAATTTAATATAATATATAAACGTACGTTTCGGCTATTTTCTAGCCTTCTTCAATGTTATAAACATTCTTCTTAATACAAAGATATTTAGACGTGTAAATCCTCAAAAAGAACTTCAGTTACTCCACTAGTCAATATTTTAAAATATCGTGTAATTCGCCGCTATCCATAGGTGATCACTCAGAAATCTGTAAATAAGCAGCATTTAATTATCCCAAGCCAGTTGGAACGCTGGACGGAATACTCAAGAGAGCACGCGAAGAATAATATTGTATACATGTCAAAACAAAGAATATTCGTAACTTTAAATATTTCTTTGCGCACTGACACCAGCGCTTTGATTCCTATTTACCCTTCGCTTCACATGTTGTTAATGTATATGTTTATTAGTTGAATAAACTATTTTATAGCTGCAATAACTGTAAAATAGTTTATTCAACTATGAACATTAGTTTTTTTAACTATATGTATATTAATTTTGTATATAAACTTGTTACTTGTATAGTTGTCACCGTTATAGTTGTTTATTACTATGTTTTTCTCTTGTGAGTGAATTTGATATATTAAAGAGTTTAACTTAATAAAATACTATTTCTTGTATACTTTATTTTATTGTAAGTACTTTAATTTTATATTCTCAGGTATAATGTTTCAAATAAGTATATTAAATTTTAACTATCACTCATTTTAAAGCAAATTAACTATGTTATGTTTGTCAAAAGAGTGGGATGTGTTAGAAATAATTGTTACCTGGAACTGGGTTTGCCACAGCGCCAACGTTTGGCGGTGATGGCAATCGCCTGGGTGACGTCAGATAGCTGGGATAGCCCGTGTGAGGCGCAGCGAGGAAACCGGGAAGCGCGCTGAGCAATCCTGGCGGCGCGAGCCAAGGATCCCCTGGCAGACCTAGAGCTGGACCGGCAACGTTCCTGAAAATGGAATGTCTCCGTGTTGTAGATGCTATACATATATTCAGTATGTCATGAGGGTTTATGTAATCGGCACATGTTAACACATAAGCGGTCGGACGAACCTCATATTAGCGGCGTGATGATACTCGCTCAAGCCCAGTCTCGCAGCCTCCATTTTCTCCTGCCTACGCCACTTGGCTCGCCTGTTCTGAAACCAGACCTGGAACACATAACGACAAATTTGTCATTATTCAATTAGAATACGTAAAGAGACATACAACCGATAAAATACATTTGAACGTACGTTTGCTTCAATAGAAAATTTATATGGTTCGCGAGCGTAATAAATTCGGTTTTCCTTCGGCCTTCAACTTAATAAGTGATGGTATTAGCCGTATTTAATATTTTGCTTAATTTCGCAAATTCATTAAGCTTCTACGCTACGGCGTTTGGCTCGACGTAAATCGGGAACAATGGCGGCACAAACTCTCATTAGCCGTTGAGACGCGATAATGGTAACGTGTCACTACCGTATACTTGAGGAAGAGGGCACCCTCCTTTCTTCCCATTCTTCCTGCCCCGATCTCAACAGCAGACTTCGAGGTATCGCTTTTGACTTCGCAAAACGTTCAAATCTCTCTTATATTATTAATACTATGGTTTCTTTTTATATTGCTATTATAATCGCTTTTCAAGCTAAAACAATGTTCTCTTTTAGGAGAATTTATACTTTATTTACGTAGCTATCATTTAAATATTTATTCGATTATTTTGCAACAAGAAAAAATTCAAAAAGTAGAACAATAAAAAATTTATTGGAATAGTTTAAAATATTCAGTGGCAAATCGAGAAAGAGTTTTGACCTTTTTATTATTACATTATCGCCGTTAGTATTTTGATTCACAAATATTACTAGTGCAAGTGTCTGTTAAAACAATATAATCACAATTAAACTATGTATATAAATAATTAATATTTTTTAAAAATTTTAGTAGAATTTTTACAATTAGATTAATCGTCCTGTTTTTATTCGCATATTAATAAGTAAAAAAAATTTCTTATTAAAAAAAAATTCTTTCTAATATGCATATAAACATTAGAAATTTTTATACAATTTGAATTAGAAAATTATAACGGTTATATTTTTAATAATATATTAGTTATCATTAGTTATAATTACAGTTCTAATAATTCTAATACTTATATCGAAAGTATATTTACAATTGATCCGAGAGTTCCTTGAGTAAATATCTGTGTCATATTTCTGAGATTGACATTAGCACTTCTAATTGAACTAGACGAGTTTTGGCTTAGAAAAGACCGCACTTACTTTTCCGACAGAGACCGTTCATCTGTAAAAATCTAACGCAAGAAAACAGATGAAAATGAGCAAGATAGTAACAGTCAGAGCAAAAGTGAAAAAAAAGAGCGGTAAGAAGTGAGAGAAAAGATTTAGAGGTTTCGATAGAAAATGGAGTTCCTTTGCCGGGGTGCGATCATGCGAAGGGCGAGAAAAGTGGCTGCCAAGACTTTCTCCCTTTCCTGCAGTTTCGCCTCGTCTAACTTTCTCTCTCTCTCTCTCTCTCTCTCTCTCTTTCTCTCTATATATTTCTCGACTTTTGCTTCAAAAGGAGGGTTGCAGAAATGTCTCTTTGGGCGGGTCTCCTCGGTCCAACCCTGAAAGCAGCGTTGGCTAAGAAAAGAGGGGACCATGAAGAGGGTCGGTCGGTAAAAGATCGAAGGGTGTGAGAGGGAGGGCGGGGAGGGTCTATCCTTCCATCGGCATTAAGAGGGTAACGAGCCCGTGGGGTGAAATCGAAAGTGAGCGAACGACGTGACGCGACGCGACGCGACGCGATGCAGTGCGCCTCCAAGGTGGACCCGAGGAGGGAAAGAAACGCGCGCGCCGAAGGGGGCACCCCGGCTCACCGTGACGGGCTCTCGGCCATGTTGATTTCTTTATTGTAACATGGCTGCTGTTGGCAGCTCGCTTAAGTCTATTGCGTTAAGAGCCGATGCTATCGGGGTCTCGGCTTATGAATTATTCAATTCTGTTTGAGACGCGCCCGGGTATAAGGCCCACCGTCCGGGTGCCCCGTCCGTGACGAATTTACACGCGGCGGCGGCGGCGATGGCGGCGGCGAGGTGAGCGTGAACTATTCAACTTGGGATCCATCAGCGATCGATGAATCTTCGATTTTTGCCTCAGTGGTCTTAACGCTTAAGATCGGATGAGTTAACGCTGAGCAATCGAGCCCAGCCTCTCTACGGTAGCTGACAGTGAATGGTCAAAGGATAATTATTGTTCGTAACATGAATTATTTGTGACCTGTAGGTTTTTCCATTCTGGCGTAAATTTTTCACGCACATGATCACCAATAAAGTCAATAAGATCGTCAATTGGACTCTAGAGTGAGAAGTTATACATATATAAATTCAGGAATGTAAGACATTTTAACTTGAGCAATGTCTTAATCAAGATAATTCAACAGAAACATATATTTCAACAAAGATTACGATCTTAACGCGCGTAAGAAATAAATCCGAGATTCTTTAACAACAATAACACGAAGCGAACAAAGTGGCGTTCCGTGTCGCCGCGCACGCTTTTGAAATCAATTCTTTGCAAATTTAATTAGTAATAGGCGACGCAAAAATTCTTTCGCCGCCTATTATATTAATAAATAAATTTTGCCTTCGAAATAATCGGTGACAGAGTGAGGCGTTGCGTTCGAATAACGATCAGGCGACTAGCAAATTGAATATTATCCGTCGGGAATGAGTGCCGGTGAATCATCAGAAGAAAAAGTATACAAATAAAAGAGAGAGAGAGAGTCACAGAGAAAAACGCGGAAACGAAGTGAAACGGAGACGAGGTTAAACGTCGGAGGCATCACCCGAGGTTTGGAGCTCTTGATGCAGGAGAAGGGTGGGAGGGAGAAGGAAGGGGTGAGGGGAAAGAGCGGGAGGAGGGGGAGTGGATATCGGAGCATTCCCGGGCTCATCAGGACGATATTCCGCTCTCGGAGAACGAGAAGCAATTTTCTTTCCTGGCTCCGTGGATGAGAAAAGGCTACGGACAAGATGCCACGCCGAAATGATGGGAAAATAAGCGAATTTCCCTTCGTATCTCTTATATATCCTTTTCCATCTCGTTCCATCTTGCCTTTCCTTCCTTTCCCCCTTCCGCAGTTTCCTTCTCTCCTCTCCTCTCTTTCTCTCTCTCTCTTTCTCTCCTGCGCTTCGCTGTAACAGTCCAGCTCTCCGTCTCCGGTTCGCCGAGGAACCGACTTGCGTTTAGCGCGCGGCGAGAAAGAGAGAAAGAGAGCGTGGCTCTTTCGTTTTCGCTCCTCTCGCGGAAATATAAAGAACAGGGCTAACGCGGCTTAATCTTTTTAGGTCGTAAATTTATTAGAGCAGGTACTTCCACCTTTTCCGCTCGTCTCCGCCGCGCGACGTCCTTCTTATTCCTCTCTCGCTCCCCTTTCACCCCGCTCCACCGGCCCTCTTCCTCACCCGACCCGACCAGCCGGCGACGATCCTCGGCAATGATATTGCGAAGGTAAACTCGCTTAGACGGTTTAAATGCAAGAAAATTGAAATAAAATGGAAGTAATTCCGAGATTAAAATTGGACGTCGTTCCGTTGTCGCTGAGAAGCGGCGACACTTTTTCGTGCCTCCCCCCGGCCTCCCCCTTTCTCCCTCATCCTTGCCCCGCTTCCACCGTGGCGTGTTAGTCTCTATAAGATTTTACGTGGCACACTCTCTCGCCCGAGAAACTTCGTGATGCCGGAGTTGCATAATTTGCGAGATTTCGCTTGGAAGGTTGACGCGCGGATAAGAGGGCTAATTATCATTATCGCGTTAATGCGCAAGTAACATAACGGAATAACAGTCCCGGACTCTTTCGCATAGAATCGTTGAATATGACGTAATCGGTAAGAGTGTGGCGTCGCGCAATTTATAAAGAAAAAAAATTATAAATGATACACTGAGAAAAAAGTCTGGTAATAACAATCAAAGAGATCCTAGATATCCTAGATAATATTTAGTTATTAAAGCTTTGAAATGAAGCAGTGAAATAGTTTCAAGTAAATGTTCGGTTAATATAATCAAAATCAATTAATTGCTAATTTTACTTTTGTAAATATTAATAATAATTAGTAACTATTACCACACAGCTAGTTACTGTTATTATATTTGAAAATATTTATTAAATATTGCACCAATATGCTATACAAAATACATTTGGTAGCTATAATTATCAAAATTTTTTCTCAGTGTACATTATAAATGTTATAATACGGTGTAAACATTTTTTTTTCCAAAAAACATTTTTTTTCCAAGAAAGGAGGTTGCCGGGCCATTTGTCAAATTTTGTTCCTGGAAGACAATTTTTAATTTGATAAATCATTTTACAGCTTCTTGCGTTATAGGTACAGACGTGCGCTATTTTTGCTATCAATTTACTCAAATCCGCATAAACTGAATATTTCAGTCGGAGGATAGCGGAGGAGACACAAAAAAATTTATCTTCACACCAAACTTATTAAAATGCTTATATTAATTAAATAAATAAATGAATTATAAAAATTAAACAGGACTCTCAGTGTTCAAGTAAAAAATAAAAAATAAAAATCGCCATAATGGGAGTCAGCGCAGTACTTAATGCGCAAATCTTTTAAAATATAACAATTTAATTGAGATCGTAAATCCTGATATTTAACAATTTAATATTCAGTCATTAAGTCATTCACGTAAAATACAAAAAACCCGTACGAGTTTCGACCTACATTCAAGTCATTTTCTTATATTAAAGTCAGTCTTCAAGCATCTTCAGCAAATTTTCTTATTATTTGGCCGTGCCAATATGCGTTTAACTTTTCGTAAAAATTATTTAATTTTTTAATTGTTCCTCCTTGCCAAAATTCAGGGGGAAGGCAAGAAGACACGCGTCCTGCCTGCCTTCCGTTGCGTATGTACCAATGTCGGTGTGTATTAAATATATATAACTTGTGAAAGATATAAATGTATGGATGATGTGTTTCCGGTGAGCGGACGCAACAACAGCTCTCGTTCTCTCAGTGACGAGCACTCGACGAGCAAGAAGTGTATCGCGCCGAAAATCACTCCCGAACTCTATCTATCGTACGAGCTTTTTTTTCCTCTCTTAGCCCGCACACGTACGTACACGCACACGATCGCCCCTCATTTCTCTC